TTGCAGTATACGTAAGTCTTCGATAGAGGCGGTCTTGATCACGTCTAGGCATGCAACAGCTTCTGGAGTCCGCCTTGAAGAGAACGACAGCCCACCGGCCCATCTGAGGACTATGGCCCGGCTGGGTTAGTACCCCCATATCGAGGACACCGTCAATCATAAAAAATAATTTATTTGTTAACCACGATGCTTTTATTTCTCAAAGTAGAATGTGAGGTGGCTTGCTTCACATTGCATGATAGTCTACGATTTTTTAGCAACTCATGAAAATCTACATCAGAAAGGAATTAGCAGCAAACATCTCTTATGATGAAATCTTTAATATTTTATTATCTTATTGACAATTGTAGAGATAAATTTAAGCCAACAAAAGAGGTTTTTATAACACTGAAGCGTAATACTAATTATTTTCCTGTACTTGTTAGCTTAGCCCCCACCCACTCCTCACCCGCCTATATCTAAATCCTGACTCCACTCCTGCACACACACACGCGCATACACACAAAACATATTACCGCCATGCAGTGAGACAATTACCACATGACAAGCGTAGTCAGCAATAATATTTAAAATAAAAATGAAATAAAATAGAGCGAGAGAATTAACAAAAGACACATGACAATGGAAAAGTGAATCTATAGTTTAAAACCACGCCTTACTATTTTCTTTTTGAAAATGATGTTACTTAGTTGATACATCTTAGTCCAACAACCATCCAGCCACGCAGTAGAACAAAAGGTTGATGTGATGTCCCGCGCGCAACTTTACTCAACAATTTATCACAAAAGAGTAGACAGATGCAAGTTGTGTTGTCTTGATCTACAAAACAGAAGAATCTAGAAAATGAAAAGCCAGGGCACTGGATTTTCCCTCTCAAGTTTGTGTACATATTGTTTTTTTGTCTCTTTTTTGTATGGCATTCGATGGATCTGAACTTGAGTGACGATTTGCAAGCTCTTTCAAAGTCACTTTATATCCTAGTCGCAATATTAATACGTGACACTAAACCCGTCGTGTCGACTACAGAAATAGTTGAAGACAGTAGAGCACAAAGGAAATGACTTTCCCGAAGCAAAACAAGCTCAACTATGCGCCCAGCTACATCCTTCCAAGTTTAGCTTTAACTTTTTTTTACGGGGTTAGCTTTAACTACATACTAACTCACCTCTTAAATCTTGAAAATTTATCAAAAAGTATGCACTAATTAGGATACACAATGCTGCCTTCATTTCAGTATTACAAGTAGTTTTGTCATAAGTCAAACCTTGTAATTTTGACTAAGTTTATGGAACTATTGACAATACCAAATAAATGTAATAGGAAAATATATTTCATGATGGATCTGGTAAATTGATTTTATATTCTGGTTGTTGATACATTTTTAATAAAATTGATCGAACTTTACAAATTTTGACTCAAGACAAACTAATATGTTACTTTTAAATAGAGTGACTAGTGGCCCTTTTTTAGGAGATTACCCGATCAATACTTAGAATATGATGTTTGATTGATTTTATTTCAATATTTCTAGCATCATATCATGTGTTTTGTGATTATATAGATATTCTTTTTCCTAACCATGATCAACAAGCATCTATGTGTTGCGATTTTCCATGCTCTAATGATAGCAAGAGATAATTTAATATTGTTTTCTATAGTTTGATGACTTAACAATTTACTTTTTTTGTCGAAGGTCCTCAAGTTTATTAATGATACGTAACAACAGTACAAAGATCACTAGAGAAAATTAAAATTCCAACCAGGATCATGGACCACCTAGCAATGAGTATAAAGTACAAACACTTGAGTGAGCTGAAGACGCATTATCGTCATCGCCCCTACCTCACAGAGCTGGGCGAACCTTTTGTCGTTGATATCCAGATAGTCATTGCGCTATAGCCCCAAAGGTCCATCACACAAGGACAACATCTGTCACGGGTGAAAAAAAGGTAGATCAGAAGAACCATACATGCAAATTCACCAAAGACCATGGCAGAATACAGACGGATCTTTCGAATACCAACAACGACCGGACCTGCCAAAGATACATACCTCCATGCACTTTCCGTCGAGGCGGCTATGGGGCAGGGAGGACATTACACTAACTCTAGGATGCCGCCACGCCACCCCGTCCGGGACATGGGAGGAGGAGGAGAAACACAAACTTGGAGCAAATAAAGGACGAACCTCTAGATCCAAAGGTGAACGTTTGACAAAAACCTGAATCGCATCCACCACCACGGTGACAAGATACCGGGGTTGAGAAAAACGATGACATGGAACTTGAGTTGCGCCTATCAAAGCCTGTCGCGGAGTCTCGGTTCGATTGTGAGGAGATCCTTCCATTGTCTCCATCTTGGTGCCATTGCCAAAGTTAGGAGAAAGAGAAAGAAACTCCAGTGGGTGGTCTTGTTTATTGGATGCAATTAACAAACTAGACTAGTCCAAAACTACGAAAAGAGATGTTCCCTTGCCCTACTCGCCACTGGCAAGCCGAGGAGGAGAGGAGAGGGGTCGATGGGGCGACCTGAACATCGAGGCAAGGGCAGGGGGTTGGCGGGTGGTTACATATCTTAATAATTTACTATTGGAGTTGGAAACAAATAAATGTGCGTTGCACGTGTACAACTGCTAGGAGTTAGATACATAGTTTCACTACCAGAAGTTTGTTGATGTTATATGCAGAAATTTTGTGTTGTGTTATAGTAATATCTTGCTGCTCTTAAGGTGGCATGGTCATTTAGATGATCTTGTTCGACTGATCTTTTTATGTATACGAATCCACTTCTCATGTTGTTTCTCTACTTCTTTTTTTACTAATGATTAAATAGTTGAAATGATGCGGTGCAAGGTGGAGCTCATCGCAAAGTGGAAAGAACGTAGCAACATAGGCGTTGTTTGACACAGTCAGAGTCGGTTTCGTCGGCCAAACTTGCACCCTCAAATACATACAGTGAGACATTTTTTTAGAACAAAGGCTCAAGTCGAGCCCGACTTTGAATTAACAAAGCCATCAACCGGCCAGGATTACATCAACCGCCCACTTACAAAGACAGAACAAAGAAATAGCTAAAAGGATACAGAGTGTTGTGCAAGCAGCTAATAGCCTTCCTATCATCTACAAGCAAAGATGAAGAAACTAAAGAACAAGACCAGCTTGAAGACAATAAAGCCCTCCACCGAGTATAATCCATCCCGTTGAGACACCAACAAGCCTTGCGGAGATCCAACTAGCATGTAAGGGCAACGCTGACAGCTTCATAGACTCCGACCGAACCGTTGACAACATCCTACATCTCCGAAGGGGCTCCCTAGCCCCTCGCCTGGCACGAGGCGCCGATCCGTCGGACGATGCAAGCGCTCTCCCAAGAGCAAAGATGTACAACCGACGCCATTGTCGTCCAGAAAACCTGACCAGGGTACCACCAACTCGCGTCGCTGAGCTCCACAAAGGCAAACATGGCACTGGGGGGGGACCAACACTCAAGGAGAAGCAAAATGCACAGTGAGGCTGCTGATGACAGAGCAACAATGGTGGGAAGCCACTGAAGTTGGAGAAGAACCTCCAAGACACCACCAACTCCAACCATGTCGCCGCCGGGTGCCCACCAACCAGACCGAACTTGCCACCACCCCATGCTCAACCGAAGGCGGCACCTCCATAAAGGTGACGGCGCCGCAAGCGTCGCTGCCGCCCAATCCAAAGGGATTTGGGTTTTCACCCCGGTGCACGAGCAGGGGAGAGAGGCAGAAGGGGGAAAGGGGTCACCTTGACGGCGCCTACAAGTAGGAGATGACGCCCTCAGGCGCCGCCGTCGTCGTGGCCGGCATAGCCAGCCATGGATTTCTCCAGGCCCCCATCTTCCCCACCCCTACCACAGAAGCGGCGCCGGCGACCTGGGCCAGCCGGAAACCAGATCTGACAGGGGCCGAAAGGATTGGGAGCGGAGGCGTCAGATCTGGGACGGGCGCCCCCGCGGCCACTGCACCCCACAGCCACCACCCGCCGCCGCCTTGCCACCCGCGTGGCCAAGGCGGACGGCCAGCACCAGCGACGCCGCGAGCTGAAAACGACGACGCACCACCACCCGAGGCCGCCGCCCCGGCTCCAGAGCCCCTGCGTGAAACAGGCGGACAGATTCTCGCCACCACCCTCCCCGGCGGACACGCGGCTTTCCGGCGACCCCCTCCGGTGGTGGCGAGGGAGAGGAAAAGGGGGGAGGAGGGCCGGCGGCGGCTAGGGTTAGCGCCGCCCGAGTCGCCCCTGCGGGAGCGACACGGGGGCCAAGCTTCGTGGAACAATTAATAGGATTCTTGTGATGTGGTGGACACCATACAGTGATACATAAAGTTTATATATTTAGAGAAAACACGGTACCCCAATGTAAGAGCGAAGAATGATATGCCCAATGAGTAGTCGTCGCAGAGGAAGCAATTTTTTCCGTGACGAAGAAGGCAACTTGTCGCCATGGGATAAAAAGGACAAAATGAAACATAGTATGACATTTAATCGCCATTGCCATGTGTCCCTTTTTTCCGTAATGGTACTTTATTTAAAAATTAGCCGTTCGGCTAATGCAATGAAAGGTTTTAAAATTATTTCTACTCGTTAAAAAAAACATCCCAAATCTCTTCGAGCCTTCCAGTATATTCTCTCACTTATTTTTAGTTTCCTCTAGACTTCGTGTGCCATTTATTTCCTATGTTTCGAATCCATAGGAGGCAAGGCATATATCTCGATAACGTGTCTCTATTTGCGAGTAGTTTTTTGAAGTTCCATACCCTTTAGCAGCCGTCGGCAGCAGACAACAATTGCATAAGAAAAAAAATAGTACACAAAAAGTGTTTGACTGCACTTAGAAAATCTGAAGATTACGTTTATGCAGCATTTCCGGCCCTGACGGCGATAGACAGAAACGCCTCCTCGTCCGAAAAGAGGCCATCTCGTGAGCTTCCTCGCCTTCGCACGCGGACCGCCGGCACCGGCCACCACCGCCGCCATGTTGCGCGCAGCCGCTTCCCGCCTCCTCGTGCCCCTCCGGAGGCCCTCCCTGTCTCCGGCACCCTCCACGGCGGCCTGCACTCTGCGGCACCTCCGCCTCTTCTCCCCGCCGCCGCAGCCGCGTCGGGGTCCGGATGCGGAGGTGACGCCGGCGGAGGCGCGGCGTCTGGTGCGGCTCGTGGGCGTGGAGGCGCTCAAGAGGCGGCTGCGGGAGGAAGGGCGGGGCGAGGTGGTCGGCTACGGGGAGCTCCTCGACGCCTGCGTGGAGGCCGGTGCGGCCCGCACGCGCGGCGAGGCGGAGGTGTTGGCCCGAGCCATGGACGACTCCGGCGTCGTGCTTCTCTTCCGGGACAAGGCGTACCTCCACCCCGAGAAGGTCAACATTTTGCTCTTGCTAGGTTTTCTTCACTCGCGCCTTCCCTCTTTGTAGCTAAACCTAACTAAACGAGGTGCTTTCACGACGATCTGTTCTCCGATTCCAATTGGCAGCATTTATTTAGTGATTTGAGTTCTTGTGCACGGAGAGCTTTACTCGTGAAAGCGCAAACCTTTTGAGTACTAGTACTAGTTTAGTCATATCTGTGAATTGGATGTTCTATGATCACTCATTTGCCAGATCACTACATAGTTTGAATAGGTAGCAACTCAACGCTGGTCAAATTTGGTAGAAATACAATGGCTTCAAATGCAATTTCATTCACCTCAGTTTTTGTGGGAAATGTATGTATTGGGGTCATGCATTCCTGTTTGAACCGCTGCGCCATAGGGAGTCCGGTAGACTGATTTGCTGTCCAAATTGATTAGATGATATTGACCACTGTTTAATTGTGGAATTGTGTTTAATTGCGTGGATGAACAACGAACAGTGGAAAGGACTAGTGTTGTGTATAATTGGGAGGTAACAATAATTTAGCTGAAGTAGCATATATTCAGCCGGGTGCGTAGATTAATTTTCTCAGAGTTATAAAAAACAAGATTGGACAATTCACCTCATGTGGTAGAAATAAGGGATCTCCCTTCTCTTCACCTACCCTGGTCAGAATAAGGACCTTAGAATCCTGTGAGCAGAAAAGTGGACATTGTTTTCTTATTTAGGTGATGCCTACACCAGTTAAAAGCATCCAAGCATCCACCTCACATGTGGCAATAAATCCAAAAACTATATTTATTCAACAAGGATTGCCTCATCAACAATTCAGCATAACGTTGTTTCTGTTGCTTTCGTATGTGGGCAAGTGACAACTTTGAAATCTTTTGTGGTGATCTATTATGTATGGTTGTGAGTTATTTGGTAAGAGTTGATCATTTTTCTTATGCTACATGAAAAAAGGCGGACATGCAGTTAAATTTTCAACTGATATATTTATGGTCAATCACTGTTTTTAGGTTGTGGACCTGGTCAGAAGGGCGGTGCCGCTTGCACTCGCACCAGACAACGACACGAGACAGGCAGAGTTTAAGCAGCTCCAGGAAAAGAAGGAAGAGATCGACAAGCTGGCACACAAGCAAGTCCGGCGAGTCCTGTGGACTGGCTTAGGGTTCTTCATGCTCCAGGTTGGGATCTTCTTCCGTCTCACGTTCTGGGAGTTCTCATGGGACGTGATGGAGCCGATTGCCTTCTTCACGACCACCTCGGGGCTGCTGGTTGGCTATGCCTACTTCGTCATCACCTCAAGGGACCCGACGTATCAAGACTTCATGGAGAGGATGTTTGAGTCGAGGAGGAGAAAGCTTTGCGTGAAGCATGGTTTCAACATGGAGAAGTACCTGGAGCTGCAGAAACATTGCAAGTGCCCTCTGGAAGGCCATCATTCTCAGGGGCATGACTCGCAACACCTGAGCTAAAGTTTCTCAGTTGTTTCTTGATGCTGACAGTGTCATCTCTAGCTTTTAGAAGAGCGGCCGTTTGCATTATCTTATACTGAGTTTGTATTACCAAAGTGATATACGACAAATTTTATCTACAAGCAGTGGTAGTTACCTCCTAATTATCTATGTGCCATGTGTCCTTCTACACCGATGTGCAAACGGGTTAGTGGATGAATAGTGATCCATTAACATTTCACTCTCAGTAGTTAGTTGAACAACACGCTAGTAGCCCGACCGCATGCACCGCATATCACTGCGTGGATAAGTGCTAGCTGCTTTTTTAAACACCGGATAAGGGTTAGTTAGCGTGACTTACGTACTGCACCAACTAATATTAAAAACATCCTCTTGTTCCTTTATGGTATATCTGTTCCATACATATTCTACCCCCGCTGGATAGTCTCAATATACATACTCCATACACTATATATAGTATACTTGTCCAGCTATATTATAGGTACATACTATATACTTCAGAAAAAGTAGAATATATATACTCCATATATACTCTATATACAGTATATTCGTCGAGCTATGTTATACATACTATATACTTCAGAAAAAGTAGAATATATATACTCCATAGTCATATAGATTATGAAAAGTATGATGTATGCCTTACAGTTGTTGGAGGCATGGTGTATAGAGTATGTACGCTCTTAAATTGGAGTACAGAGTATGATGTTTAATTGAGGTTTACAGTATTAAGACAAGGATTGAGTATATCAATGGAATTAAAAAGAGAGCGTATGTATACGTAATAGTAGTATGTTAGCGTGCATTCCGTGGAATTTCCGAGGCACTCTCACATGCACGCATATAGTATGTATTATTAGAGAAAGGGAATATGTAGATTACAAAAAGAGACTATATGTAAGAAAAGTAGTATGGAGTATAATAATTAAAAGGTAGTATGTAGTATTATCTCGCGAAAAAAAGTATGTAGTATTATCTCTTGCTACAAGAAATATAGTATGTAGTATTATCTCTTGCTACAACAAATTAAAGATACGGAGCCAACATATACACATTGATGTACTACACAGATAATATAAGTAGTTCATCCATGATTCCATCGACCTCTACGTGACATCGAATGATCATATACAATTTATTCTGTTGTTTCCTTCCGGTCATGTGCCCATCTTATCATCCCTGAACTTTGTTTAGCAACTCTTAATCTGTGATCGGACGTATACGTTGGTGCAGCCGCCGCCGCCATGCTGGAGCAATCACGTCCCTCTACCATGTGTCTCCACTTCTCACCATCATCAGGTATGTCAGAAGTGCCGGAGCAGTACTGAACAGTACGTGGTGCAAGTGCGGAGCCAACATAGTTGGTGGATGTCGTCGGCGTCGCCACGGCCACAGATCCGATGGCGACGTACTTTGAAATGTTGAAAAGTATCCAACAAAATATAAAAGAATTAGTATTAGCATTTGGTAGCCCGACAACAACAGCAGACGAGTAATGTCCCGGAAAGCAAGAATGCGCCCGGCCACGGATATCAACGCCATGTTGTCATCGATGATAGGGCCGGTGTATGTACGCATGATGCCGTCTATCTCACTTCAGGGATAAAACTCGCATGAAGGCCGTGCATGTGTATATATCTTGTCCCCAACCTGGAATTAAAGATAAAAGATGAATTATTCACATTTTCCAAGCATATGGATCACGAAAGACAAAATATCCGTTGCAGATGGGCCTCTTTTTTTTCTGATTGTGTAGTCCTGATCTGAAGCATGAGCACCGGTCTTGGCATCCATAGGTCACACGTACATATGCTAAATCTAGAGAAATAGAGCAAGATGGAGCAAAGATTACCCCACAAAAAAAAGATGAAGCAAAGATTAACATATGTGTTTTGGGATGGATCACCGTAATAACTCCACATGCTTACCTCCCGTGAAACATGACGCCAGCGGCGGCCGCGAAGCCGACGGATATATTTTAAAGGCTAGCCTCATTTGCTTTGACTCGAGGTAGTTATATACTATGATAAAACTAGCCATATAAATCGAGAGGGTGCGGCTGGATATTTAATCGGGTTGAGAAAATCTAGCTACTTCCAAAACCGTGACCCGTTAATCAGCTTCCACACATGGATGGCATCCGACGGCAGTAAGGGTGGTGGTAACTACCACTAGGTGGTAGTATCTATTTTCCCGACCACCTCGGGGCTGCTGGTTGGCTATGCCTACTTCGTCATCAGGGACCCGACGTATCAAGACTTCATGGAGAGGATGTTTGAGTCGAGGAGGAGAAAGCTTTGCGTGAAGCATGGTTTCAACATGGAGAAGTACCTGGAGCTGCAGAAACATTGCAAGTGCCCTCTGGAAGGCCATCATTCTCAGGGGCATGACTCGCAACACCTGAGCTAAAGTTTCTCAGTTGTTTCTTGATGCTGACAGTGTCATCTCTAGCTTTTAGAAGAGCGGCCGTTTGCATTATCTTATACTGAGTTTGTATTACCAACGTGATATATATATATATATATATATATATATATATATATACATAAACCAGCTGTCACCTAACAGGTTAAACGTAAGAGTTTAAGCTTATTTAGCCCTGTGTGTATCAAGTGGGTGTGCGACCTGTGGTTTTGGTCACAGCTCTGCAAGTGTTCAACTATCAATCTTGCAGCGCCGGCAAGGCTAGGGCTTGGGCTGTCAGCCCAATGCGGTGACAGGCTGACAGCCACCATCATCTGCACTTTGTTAGAGCATCTCTAATAGAAGATAGAAATTTGAAGATGTAAAATAGGAGATGTAAAAAATTTGCATCTACAAAAAGTGCATTTTGCATCTTCAAAAAAGAGGCAACTCCAACAGATAATGTATATTTGTAATGTAAAAGTGCTAACTCCAACAGATGATGCAAATGAAGATGTAAAATAGTTCAACGGCGGCATGGCGGCGATGCAGGCTGCGGACCGAGCGGCAGCGACCGAGCTTCGAGAGGAGCACCCACGGCCGAGCGATGAGTAGCGGTGCGGCGCCCGAGCCTTTGTGTTCAAATGCGGCGGCGGGAGCTCGAAAGGCCAGCAGCGGGGGCTCGAATTGGGCAGCGTGGAGGCGGGTGTGCGGCTCGTAACCGGAAGCGGCGGGGTTGTAGGGGAGTTCGAATTAGGCGGCGGCATCATGGCGGCAAAAAGCCGATTTTCTAGCGGAGGGTGGCGGATGTGCGGCTCGAATCCGGCGGCGGCGGTGCGGCGGGGGAAGCTTGAACTTGGAGGCAACGTCGCGGCGTTGAAAAAACGGGTGATGCATCCAATTCTTAGGCGAAGGGCGGTGGAAAAGCGACGGCACCGGAGACGGGGAGAGTCGGGGCCGGATCTACCAACGGTGGGATGCGGCGGGCCGGCGGCGCGACAGCAGATTGAGGTAGGCAGTCAGTCAGGGGACGGGAGAGAAAATTCCATGGCGGTTGGTTTGGTGGGCGGCTGGCAGTTTTGCATCTGGGTTTACATCTCTCGCGGTTGGAGATGTAAATTTACATCACGAGGTGTAGTATTTTACATCTCCGTGAGGTAGAGATGTAATTTTTTTTTTTTACATTTACATCATCTGTTGAGAGGAATTTTAAGGCCTTAAAATATACTCCCTCCGCCATGAACTAAAACCACGACGAGTAATCTGAAACAGAGAGAGTAAAAGTTAGTTATTTTTGCATCAACATCAAGATGCTCGTTGCATATTTTGTAACAAGATATTGAAGCCCTAGGTTTTCTCTTATCCTTGGCCGCAACAACTCGTCCAATCTAGATTGATTTTCTTCTCTTGTTCTTCTTCCTTGATTAATTTTCGGCCTCCTTCTCCTGATTGATTTTCTCAAGTTGGCGTTGCATTGGTCCCAGAAGCCGCTACTAGTGGAGACGAACTGTGCTGAAATTTTGTCTCTGGTCAATGCTTGCTCACCCGATCGATCGAGAAACATGTACCAAGTGGCTGAAATCTCAGACCTGTTGAAGGAGAGGCAAGCTCAGATCAAGAAGATTAGTCGGATGCAGAACAAGGCTGGGCATGCTATGGCATCCATTGGACGAGCACAAGAACGAACAGCTTGTTGGTTAGCAAATGTTTCTCAGAAGATTAGTATTATTATTATGAACGATTGTAAAAATATTATCAATCAAGTAATGAAATGCTTTCCCTGGAAAAAAAAAGAGAAGAGATTCTCGGTCTCCTTTCGGCACAGATAGGTCTCCTTTCGGCACAGATATGTTTGTTCCCCGTCGATTTGTTGCTTCCCACCACCACCCACCAATTTACTGCTGCTCCGCTCTCGCAACCTCGCATGGCTGCTCTTCCCGTCGGCAGTCGTCCCAGCACGTCCTCACGTTCCACGCGGCCGCTGGCCATGGCTTCTCTGCTTTTTGAGAAGCTAAGAGCAACTCCAACCATTTTGTCCACGCGTTCAAACGGACACAAAATTCGACCTAACACATCAATTCAAACAGACGTGTCTTTGCTTTTTGTTCGTCTGCTGACTCATTTCCAGTCTATATTTTGGCCTTATTTGCGTTGGCGCGGACACAAGGTGAACACGCGCAATGTCCACCTACTCCTCCTAGACCGCCAGTCAGTGGCATATAGGTCATTCTCATCCTCCCATCGACAGCCAGCACACCCAGCTGCTCCACCCCGTTGCCACCGCCGCACAGTTCCGATTCTTAGGCCAGCCGTCCGCGCCCCCATACCTCCCCCGCAGCACGCCACCTTCCAACGTCGCCGCCACCACCATCTCGCCGCACCGCTGCAACTTCCCCGACGTCGCCACTAGCACCAACTAGCCCACGCGCCCCCGGCCCTGCTTGACACTACTAGGAAAAGGGTTATAGCTAATATGGACATTAATAGCGCACCATGTATGTGGTGCGCCACTATAGCAGTGGCGCACCAGATACAGGTGTGTCATTAGTGTCCTCATTACTAATGGCGCACCAGACACACGGTGCGTCATTACTAGC